GACTACTGTTAATTCCAGGTGGAAAACTGGTAGAGCTGCCTCTTTTCTACACTGTGTAGAAATGATCCAACATAGTATAACTCAACTTTTGAGCCTGAGAGAAAGGTCAGAGTTGATCCAAAGTAAAACTCTAGGATTTAAAATTTTTTAAAAATCAAAAATCATAAATTGGGAAGAATCAAACTTCTATAAATACAGCCGTTCTAGGTAACTACACATTACATCCCAGAACTAATTTAAATAAGGAATACAATAAGCCTATTAGAAATACTATGGTCCAAATTAGTAGTATTTATAAACAAAATGCCTTAAAAACTCTGAGGTTCCACCACCTGTGGAAATGGGTCGCTCTGTGTGGGAGAAAATGAACTCCAAGAATGTCTTTGTTTTTAAGTGTTTTAAGTTTCAGAGTTCTGTAAATATTCCCTCTAGGGGGAAAAAACAGAATTATTCAGAGGTGCTTTCAAGTAAGGTCAGAACAGGAAGCTCAGGTCAAAGTCTCATTTCCAGTAAAGTGTAAAGTTGCAAATCTTCATTTGGTTCTTTATACCGGTTTGTCATAAACTGACCTGAAGTGAGTGGACCCACAGATAAGCAGATGTACTGGTTGGAAATGTCTTCCATTCTCAATTTCTGCCTTCCTGAATAATCAGAGGAAATGAGTGAAAAAACCTCTTTGTTGGCCGGGCGCAGTGGCTCACACCTGTAAATCCAGCATTGGGAAGCTGAGGTGGGTGAATCACCAGGTCAGGAGTTCAAGACCAGCCTAGTCAAGATGATGAAACTTTGTCTCTACTAAAAATATAAAAATTAGCCAGGCATGGTGGCGGGCACCTGTAATAACAGCTATTCCGAAGGCTGAGGCAGAGAATTGCTTGAACTCAGGAAGTGGAGGTTGCAGTGAGCCGAGACCACACCACTGCATTCCTGCCTCGGTGACAGAGACTCCATCTCAAAAACAAAACAAACCTCTTTGTAAGACATCTTGCTACAAAATTACTCATCATAAATGGGTCTTTCCTGTTAATGCATTTTGTGATGGGGAAAAAAGGGATACATTTGTGAAACCCAAACTAAGGAGAGAGAAATGTGAGGCACCAACAAAGAACCCAGACCTAAGCATGTACTAAGTCAGGGTTGATCAGCTGCAGACCAGATCCCTAGTCCTTGGTTCAGTTCAACCCACTCTGCAATACTTCCTGGACTTGAATCACTCTTGTTAACTGTTGGCTCTACTTCACTTCTAAAAGTGTTTTCTTACAGGAAAATTAAGATACTGCTTTTACTGGAGATAATGCTGGATGTCACAAAGTTAGATTCAGAAACCACTATAGTTAATGTTAGGGCCTCTGAGTTGAAAGGGTATTTCCTTGAGGAAATGACATCTAATCACTTGAGCTCAGGAGCTTGAGACCAGCCTGGGCAACATGACAAGACCCTGTCTCTGCAAAAAAAAAAAAAAAAAAAAAAAAAAAAAAATTAGTTAGCTATCTGTGGTAGTGTGCACCTGTAGTCCAGCTACTAAGGAGGCTGAGGTGGGAGGACTGCTTGAGCCCAGGAGGTCAAGGCTGCAGTGAGCTGTGAATATGCCACTATACTCCATCCTGGGTAACAGAGCCAGATCCTGTCTTAAGAAAAAGGAAAAAAAAAAAAAAAAAAAAAAAAAAAACAGAGAGAAATTGTAATTGAGCCAGAAATACTGGTGCTCATATCTTCAGATATATGTTCTGGTTTCAGTGGTTAGAAAACAAGGGTCTCATTCTAGACTGGCCTTTGTGGCCAGAGGGAAGAATGTCCCATTTAATTTAAAGTACAGGAAGTTCCACCATAAAGTAAATCACATTTTTAAGGGGAAGTGAGTGTACAAAACCTACCTGTAAGTCTTCATAACTAGGTCTTCTAGAGAAAAGAAAAAATAGAGGCTGTGGAAATCAGGGAAAGAAGTTGTTTCGATAATGAGACAAAAGTAACAACAAAGATATAGAGTGGGGAAGATGCATTGTTATTATACAAAGACTGGAGCACATCAGTCGTGCCAAATGGAAGGTAAACCAGGTAAGTTCTAATCTTCCTTTTGTAGAAAACAACATATTGTTGGATATAACCGAAAATGCACATTTGTTAGCAGCCTTGGATAGTTTTTTCTCTAATATCATTTAACCAAAAAGAAATTTCCTATTCTCCACATGCAGGTTTACACATCCCTGGGCTGGTTTGAAAGATAAACAATGTAGCCAAAATAGTAATCTTCCTCAGGACCCAACAGAGCTTAAGCCCATGAATAGCCTAGTTCTGGGTATTCATCACATCTTTTGGAATAACAGCACCCAGGGAGGTATTTATAGTCCAGTGTGAGGGGTTGGCAGGATGAGATGAGTCACACTTTATTCTTCGCTGCTCAAGGCTGTTCTGAGCCTTTCCCTCTGACTCAGCACCAGTCGCCTCGAAGCTGACAAGGCCCAAATGCAGCAGCATATGCTCAGGAAGTGGTCGTGCTGCTTAATGAAGGTAGCTTAACTATCATGTTCATTATTAAGTCTCAGGAAAAATGGAAGAAAGAAGGTGACGGTGGGTTGGAGCTCCAGGGCGCTCTCAGGGGAAACAGCAAACCAGGGAAATAAGGGAAATGTTTGAGAAAACAAGAATCTTTTTCTCCGAGTTCTTCTCTACTGCTCCCCTGGACTAACCTCTCCTTAAGGCCTTTGTCATAATTGCCCATTTCAATAAAAATATCTTATGTTTAAAAAGAACATGTAAGGGAAAGAATACTGTATTGAATATTAGGAGACCAGCTAGGTTCTAATCTCTTTCATGTTGCAAATCTGCTGTTATCAGACATTTCAACTTCTCTGGACCACAGGAGAGAGAAAAAAAGGGGGAGGGATAAAGAAGGGATTCATATAGTGAGAAGATCAATGCTCCCTCTAAGCCAGCTTTCCAGGATTCCCTTCAATGTGCCTTGGGAGTCTCATCTCCTTCCTTGCCACAGTCCTGGCAGGCCTCCATGGTGCCGAGGTAGAAGCAGGAAGTAGGCCCTCAGGTCGCTTTACCTAAATTGAGTCATGGCTTACCACCACTACCACCAGCAAACAGCCTGTCTCTTTTTGCTGTCTTAGCACCTAGGGATTTCCTTTTCCTTCTCCTCACCAATTAATCACAGTCCACCTATAGCCTCAGTAGGGGTCTCTATGCCTGATGCTTCCATTCATACCTCTGGAGCTCCTCTCCCGCCCTCTTCTCTTCTGCTGTTGGACACTGGCCTTTCCTACTCCTGTCCATCCTCACAACTGTCATTTGCCCATCCCTAAATCCATCATCCTTGTCCAAAAGATTCCTGCTGCCCAGGGAAGGAGTTAGGAAGAACAGAAAGAACTGGAAGAAGATATATAGATCATGTTTGGAGGCCTAAGGAAAGAAAAAAAAAAGAACTAGAAGAAAAGAGAAAACGAAGACCTCTTTCCGCTGCTAAGGTTTTTGTTGTCAGGAATCCATGTTTTGGGGACACAATAGGAGCTTAAAAAATGTGTACTAGTGAACAAAATAGCATTCCCTAACCTAAACCCTTAAAGCTGTTTCCCAGAGTGACATTATTACATACTTTAGCTCTGTATTTCAGGTACCCAAGATGGGGTAAGCAGCTTTTCTGTGGGCTGGCCTGGGAACCCCACCCTCATGATGTTTGTTTTTATGAGAAAATGCTGCCTGAGTGGCAAACGATGGACGTACCAATGATCTTTGTAAACCGCCTTTCCTTCCTCAAGCATGGTTTATATAACAGGAAAATTAAAAACTCTGATAGGCAAAAGAAGAAATCAAACAGCAGCCAACTCCAACTATAAAATAATTCTACATACATATATTATCATATATAGATGTGCATATATCTACAAATATGTAAGAAGTAAGGTGGTAAAAGTAAATTACCTAATTGATCTAATACACACATATACCTCGCTCTCACCTTCATTTATAGCTGGGGTCAGCAACCTTAGACTATCCCCCAAAATACATGTTTAATGTGAGAAAAAGGTTTCAGTAGGCTGGACATGGTGGTTCATGCCTGTAATTGTAGCACTTTGGGAAGCCGAGGATCACCTGAGCCCAGGAGTTTGAGACCAGCCTGGGCAACATATGGAGACTCCAATTCTATAAAAAATAAAATTAGTCGAGCGTGGTGGCATGTGCCTGCAGTCCCAACTACTCAGAAGGAAGCTGGAGGATAACGAGCCTAGGAGTTCAAGGCTGCAGTTAGCTATAGTCATGCCACTGCACTCCAGCCTAGGCAATACAATGAGACTTTGTCTCAAACAAACCAAAACAATACAAAACAAAGAGAAAGGGGTTTCGATAATGTTGAGAATACCAACTACAGTACAAAGGAAGTGCAGAACTATATGGTAACACCTGAGATCAAGAAAAACAAGTATTTGGAAATGAACACAGACACCCAAAAGAGCTAAATGGAGACAGTATAGTTCCCTAAAATACTCGTTTTCTCCTTTAGAAAATAAATGCATGGATGCTTTTGGCTCAAGGCTGGGAAGTTGTGGAGGGGGTGACGTATAGCACACACTCTCCTTTACCTTTACAACAGGTCTAGTGGTCCTCTGAGAGGGGGAAAAGACACAGAGACAGGAATTGGTGAGGTGCTGGGGCAGGCCTGAGTGTGGGTGAAGACTTGGAAACAATTTTGTATGTGGAGCTGAGCTGCTTAGGTCTGAAAGGCTTTGTTATAGTGGATTGTGGGTTCTGAAATAGGATGAAGAACTGAGCAATACAAATGCAGGGTCTGTGAGGCCGTGCCATCCACACTGCTGTCCATATGGGCTATATTTATGCCACCCGACTTCACAGCTACCAAATACCTGGCATGCACCTGGCACTTCAATTCAGTCTTTTATCATGAAACTGAACATGATGGAGGAGGCCTCAGAAAAGAAGGGCAGGAGGCAGGAGGGCAGGAGAATGGCACCTCCCTGCTTTTGTCCAGCACAACTCACTTCATAGAAGAGTCCTTCTGGGAATTGCTGGAAGCACTGAGCGCACACGAAACACTGCTCATGGTACAGCTCCCCGTTACTGTTCACGATCTTCTCAGCGGGTGCAAAACCGCCCTTGCAGCGCTCACAAGTGGCGCTGGCCAGGGCATTGGCCATGTTGCTGTAACACACAAAGAATAGCAGGTTGCAGACCGTCATCCTCTTCTTAGATCAAAGACCAAACAATACTAAGAACCCAGCAGCAAATTCTATCTGATTGCAAAAATCCTATTTTATTTAAAAAGCTCAATTTCTTACTTCTTCCTAACATGCTCTAAAACTAGGACTCTTCGGTCTCTTTACCCTAGCATCTGAGGCTCTCTAAGGGTGTCCCACTTTGATTCTGTTTCTAACATTTTTGGCATTCTTTTTGCTAAATAAACTATGAGTGTGTGCCGACTACGTGTTAGGCATCTGAGACAGAGATGAAAGTTACGAGCTGCTCTCAAGTAACCTGGGTTTACAGCTTAATAAGTAGCTTAATTAAAATATCCACAAGTCAACATCTCAAAACCAATTTCTTTCCCTTCTGAGAACAGAATCTAAAATGCATGTCAACTAAATGCCATGTCATATAACTTAGATATAGGTTAGATTCTGTGGAAAGCAACTGTTTAAGTAGCCTTAAAACCAGCCAAGATGCCCCAGTCCTATTACCTAATTGGCAAGATGAACCTGATTGCCAGTATTATAAAATATAACTTAAAATCACAGAATTTTACATAATAAAGATCATTTTATAGATAGTAAAATAGGTTCACAGAGATGGAAGGATCAGTCCAACATCACAAAGCCAATTACTTAAAGGAAGACACAGGACTAGAAATCAAGGTCCCCTGCTTGTAAAATCATACTGTCAACCAAAACAGATTACAGCATGAATTTCAAACACTTGAAAGGACATGATAGGGATACCACCACGTTTTATACATCAGGAAAGTGACACCAGGCTGTCAAGCCATGTTTGTGGCTGATAATATGGGAAATTCCCCCATCAGTGGCCCCACTACACCTTAAAACACAGAAATAATCTCAGGCTCTCTCCCTCTATTTATTCGATAAATAATCTCAGGCTGTACTATTTGGAAGAAAAGCAACACGGCAGCTAGGTGTACTGGCCCACACCTGTAATCCAGGCACTTTTGAGAGGCCAAGGCTGGTGGATCACTTGAGGTCAGGAGTTTGAGATCAGCATGACCAACACGGTGAAACCTCTTCTCTACCAAATATACAAAATTAGCCAGGTATGGTGGCGCAAGCCTGTAGTCCCAGCTCTTTGGGAGGGTGAGACAGGAGAATCCCTTGAACCTGGGAGGTGGGGGTTGCAGTGATCCATGATTTCGCCATTGCACTCCAGCTTGGGCAATAAGCATGAAACTCTGCCTCAAAACAAAACAAAACAAAACAAAACAAAACAAAACAAAACAAAACAAAACTCCACCTCAAAAAGAAAAAAAAAAAAAGAAGAAAAGCAACATGGCTTTGACAGGCATACAATTAAATGAGGATTTCACATGAAGACTGTTTTGTTTCTTAGAAGTCCTAGAAATGGAGAAGGTCCCCCATGCAGAGCAGTAACTGGCCAAGCGGTCCTTCGATTTCTGGCAAGTTTATTTTCACAGGCCTACTCACAGCATGAGTTCTACCTGTCTGTCTAGTTCCCTGATGCAGCTTCTGAACTTTCAGGTATTTAATCAGTGTACTTTGTGAAGTTATTACTAACGTTCTCCTGAATTTTCACAATCAACCAGTGAGGCAGACAGGTGGACAGTCTCCATTCTATAGGCAGGGGAACTAACAGCCTTGTCCCTATTGGTTTCCAGGTTTTGCTGTTTCCTTAGCAAAAGTGGTCCCCATTACTTGCTTCACTCCCCTCCACACCTCTGGAAGACAACTTTCCTTTTGCCTTTCTCTCCCAAATGTTTCACAAAACAGTCAACCTGTTTTGTAGCCTTGCCATAAATAACTGCGTGTAGACACACCGTGTTCATCACTTCAGACAAGTCAACTTTATTTAACAGGTTTGAATGTAATTAAAATGCCACCAAAAAAAAAAAAAAGGAAAGAAGGGAGAAAGGGAGGCAGCTTCACTCTCAGTTAAACCTGGCCTAAGCCTCATGTTAAAATGAATTTCTACTTTGTCATTTCAAAGTTACTGTGGGTTGGGGGAAAAAATCTGTAAAATTCTCGTTGTCATCCAGCTTTGCCATAAGCCAGATGATTGTGGCAGTTTTTTTTTTTTTGAGACGGAGTTTCACTCTTGTTACCCAGGCTGGAGTGCAATGGCGCAATCTCGGCTCACTGCATCTCCACCTCCTGGGTTCAGGCAATTCTCCTGCCTCAGCCTCCTGAGTAGCTGGGATTACAGGCACGCGCCACCATGCCCAGCTAATGTTTTGTATTTTTAGTAGAGACGGGGTTTCACCATGTTGACCAGGATGGTCTCGATCTCTTGACCTTGTGATCCACCCACCTCGGCCTCCCAAAGTGCTGGGATTACAGGCTTAAGCCACTGCGCCCAGCCGATTGTGGCAGTTTTAAAAAACTCCGGAGAGGTTTGTGCTTCTTCCTTCTCCTGACCAAAGTACACAGGTGTTCTTGGATGGACATGGTAAGCCCCATACCTGCCCAGTCATTCTCAGTACTGTTCTCAGGAAAAAGTATTTATACCCACTTGGAAACCAGAAGATGTTGCTCAAATATATGGCACTGTTCTTAATTCTAAACTCTCTCAAAAGATTAGACAAACCTCAACAATCTTAATGGGACTCTAAAAAAGCCCCAAAAGAATATTCTAGAATGACCTGGCTCATTATAACCTAATCAGTTGTTTTCAAAATGTCGGGGTCACCATGACCCTCCAGGAGGCAGAAATGTCCTCTCTTTCCCAACTACATCTCTGTGGGAGGCCATATTTTCTTCATATATTTCATCTAAAATAACATACTGTAATAGGTTGAATGCAGAAACAAATATGAGAAACTTTTATTAAGACAGATATTAATAAGATTTGCAAAAATGTAACACAATGCCATCCTTTCTCTAGGCCTCTTCCATTTTGGAAAAGTTATTTCTCATGAAAACATCAATATTAACATTTACTATTATTAACATGTAATAAGCTTATTGTTTTTAAATGAATTAATAAGTATTTTAAATTGCTCCCAATTTAAATTTCCAGTTTCCCAGTATTCCCATACAGCAAATACTGTTAAATGAAAGTTCTTTGGGGACCTTAATTGTTTTTAAGAGTGTTAAGAGGCTCTTAGATTAAAATGTTTAATTACTGTCCAGTTTAAACTCACATAATATAGATTGTTTCTACTTAAGTTCAAATACTGAAGTAGAATTAGGAAATAGGTAGATACATCATAAAAAAAGCACATCGTTATTTCCCACACACAGGAAAAATGTGCTAGTTTTTGAGATAATATACATGTATTTTTCAAGAAGTATTCCTTTTAATAACAAGCAGGGGAAAAAAAGGAAACAGAACAGTCACCTTGCTGTCCCCTGAACCAGTCAGGTTTCCCTTTCCTCTTTTGCCATTGACACTCTGGCACAATGCCTTTTTTAAAAATGTTGATTTTATATTTAATATTACAGATGACAGAAATTACTTTTAAAAAGTCATTAGTAACAGTTACAGCTATCATCAGATTAGTTATAATTAATTAGCTAAGTTTTCAGAAAAAGATTTTCATTAAAAAGTGTTGATAACAAGAAATATGTAAGTGGGGAGTATAGATAGATATTTATATGTAAAAGCCTTAAGGGCAGCTTCTTCATATCAGGCTAGGCATGGTTGATGAAGCTGATCTACTTCCACAAATCACCCTCACACAGCACACTTGAAATCTTGCTTTCTGCTATTCAAGTCCTAAAATGCAGCGATGTATAAATCCAAAATCATCTTGAGAATTCACCGAGCAGTTAAAATATTGGTTACCATATTATTACAATTCCCTAATTACTGTTAAACAGAGCTCTCTGTGAGTTGTGAAGATAAGTGATATCTGTACCACAGAGCATGAATTATGGAATCAGAGAACCAGGTCAGTTAAATTCTCATTAACTCTTACTTGACAAATTGGGGATATGTAGTAATTCTAAGCTCACAACTTTAAATGAGGTAAATAATCTTGAGCTGGTCTGATGGCTACTCTGCATTTTGTTTAAAAAATGTGTTTGCTAAAACCCATTTAATAGTATCAATTAGCCTAACTTTTTAGAGTTAACAGTATGTCCTATATGTATATTGATTTGCTACTTATATACAATATATATATTTATTCATTCAATTAAGAAAACCAATTCGCTTACTTCAATTTGTTGATTGTTATACATAAAAAAATATATATATTTACCAACAGTCTGTAATTTGTTTTTCACTGTTCCAACTCATCTGCCCCTTATCTTTGGGACGTTTTGGAGTACACAATTTTTCTAATGTAATTCCTGACAATGAAAACACTAAGCCTCCCTCGTGGATGAAATGATGAAAATGCAGCTACCAAGTGATCAGGAACCTACTGAAGACGGGGCCACTGTGCTCTCACAGTGAGGGCAGCACCTCCCACCCATCTGCATGTTGCTGGAAGTCTTACCAACAAGGCAGCCTCCTGTCTCCTTAAACATGCTACGCTGTGAGCCCCTCGGAGCCCTACCACCCGGGAAAACTCCTGCCCAAAGTCCAGTCAATAAAACTGTACGGGCCAGGTCAGGATGGCTCCTGAATAGAGAGCCAAGAATGCCAGACCTGGAAGAGGGGCACTCCGGGAGAGGAGACACTCACAATTTTGCATAAAAGTCACAGAACTCCTTGTAGACTTTCACGTCACTGTGCCTGCGCTGCAGTTTGGAAACAGCTCTCTCGTCCTCGGTCTCATTGGCCTCGTGGACACTGTTAAGGGCTGCTTGGGGGATTTCTTCGTTCTCTGGGATAACGCAGGGACGCACTCGGCCTGAGAGGGCCATTGTGGGTGCTTGAGAGCTCTGAGCACAGGGACGAGAGCAGCAGGACACAGAGCCAGGAGAAACAATATCCAGGCCTCCCTGCTTCCCAGCCAGGGTCACTCCCACTGTTCTCACACACGTCAGCCTGGCTCGCCAGGGTCACTGCTGCTGCTTCATGTTAAGAGCTCAGCAGCACAGTACACAGTCACATGGCAGGCAGGATTTACTGAGGCTTTCTGGAAGTTCTAAAAAACATTCCACAAAGTAGTGACACAGTCTTTGTCAGAGCAGTGGTCCCAGTGGACTATGCTATAAACACTACATCAGGAGATGGGGGCTGCCTCATAGGCCTCCATGAGAAGGAAATATCTACATGTGCCTTGCATTATTTGCCACCAAACTTCATCACCAATGCTGTGCTCTTCACTCTGGAGGGCATAAGAGGCTTCTGGAGACCTTGTAAAATACCCGCTGACAAGCTCTCCATGAGGCTGAGGCTGCTGGCACACTCTGAAGAGCATCCGAACCCTGCCTGGACCCAGGCTTCCACAACCTTGGCCATGACTGCCTTCTATCACCTTTGCTACTGGTACATAGTCAGAGTCCAATCTCAGCTCCAATGAATGGGCGTAAGTGGAAACAGACAAGGACCACTGTTTAGTTACAACTTTTCTACTGGACCCTGGCTAACCTCCAAGCTTAGGTGAGCCCATGTTCCTCAGTCTCTATCATAACTAAGGAAGCCATTACAAAGTCTCCTGTGATCGAGTTAGCTGGGAACTATGTCAGGCAAACCTGTCTCCCGTTTTATTCCTAAATAAGATAGCTACAAAGATAAAAAACCTACCTATCCCCCTCACCATTTGTCCACAAGAAAATTCTTATGGACAGAGGACAGACAGAACTCAAAGTCAAACCTCTGAGGCTCACCTGAGACAAATGCGTATCTGATTGCTTCCTCTACCCTATTGTTCATGTAAAAATGTAGGTTCACTGAGCCAGACACAATTGTGTATTCATTGGAAGGCTGATCAAGGACTCAAAATAATGCAACCATTTGTCTCTTATCTACTTCTGACCTGGAAGCCCCCACTTCGAGTTGTTCTGCCTTACTGGACCAAACCAATGTACATCTTGCACATATTGATTGATGTCTCATGTCTCCCCAAAATGTGTAAAAGCAAGCTGTGCCCCGACCACTCTGGGACGGATGCATGACGTCAGGAACTCCTGAGGCTGTGTCATGGGCGCGTCATTAACCTTGGCAAAACACACATTCTAAATTGACTAAGACTTGTCTCAGATACTTTTTGGTTTACAGCAATGATGACAGTCATGATATAGCACCAGAGACAACTAACAGGTTCAGAATTTTTCTCAAGTCCCTGTCCTCCCAGGGCAGTGCCACCCACCAAAACCAAGAGACTGTGAAAGAAAATCTACAGAACAGCCACAAGGCAAACTGATGGACAGTCACGGAACCAGCAGCAGATAAACAAAATACAGTGGAGATGCCAAGTAACAATCACAACTAATGATATCCAAGAGTCAATGAGTGCTTCCTATCACATCCCTTAATCCTTCCCACAGCTTCTCAGATAGGTGTTAGTTACAAATGAAGAAACTGAGGCACAAAGAAACTGAATAACTACTAAGGAGGTGGTGGAATCACGACTTAACCCTAGGTACTCTGATTCCAGAGCCTATGTTGTTAACCCTTATGTGAGAAAATGGGAAACGTAATCACTGGGAAGCATAACAGTTAACCAGAAAAGATTAGGCAGCAGGTACCAGATAGTACTGCAAGCAGAAAGTGGGACCAAGTCTTCCTACTTTGGACCCTAAAGATCTCAGAGGATGGGTCAAGAACTGAAAGGCTGTCGGCTACAGATCCTGCCCAGGACCAGAGCCTATGGCTGACAAACAAGGGATCACCATATTTAAGTAAGAAAGAAACAACCTCATGGTTTAAAACTTTTCTTTTCAATTTATCTACATTTCCTAATTGTTTAAGTTTGTTTTTTTTTGTTTTTGTTTTTGTTTTTTTTTTTTTTTTACAATGACCATGTGAAACAGAGAGGAGACAGGGAGGGAGAGAAAGAGACAGAGAGACAGACAGATAAACGGGGACAGAGGCAGGCTGATTCAGACCAGAAGTGTGATGCATCCAGTGGGGGTGGCATGGTAAGAGGCGGGAAACCACGTGAGCCTTTTGCTCAGATTTCTCCCTCACAGTCTCCCCAGCGCTCACATCTGACGTGACTACAGTACAGAAGCAAAACCAGGAATCCGACATTGGTACAATGTGTGTGTGCGGGTCTGTCATTTCATCACATGTGCGGGTTCCTGTAACAACCGCCTCTATCAAGTTACAGGATTATTCCATCACCACAGAAATCTCTTTCATGTTATCTCTGATCATCACATACCTCTGCACACTCCAACATTTCTAACCTCTGGCAACCACTGATTTGTTTTTCACTTATATGACTATGTTATTTAAAGAATGTTACCTAAATGGAATCACATGTGACATCTTAAGGCTTTTCATTCAGCACAATGACCTGAGCCTAATCCAAGTTGCTCCACATGTCCACAGTTTTCTCTTGTTTACAGCCAAATAGTATTTCATGACATGGATGCATAGTTTGTTTCACTGTTCACCCACTGAAGGACATTTAAGTACTTTCCAATTTGTGGCACTGTGAATAAAACTGTAGAAATTTCTGTACTGAATATATTTTTATTTCTCTGAGATAAATGCCCAAGAGTAAAATTGCTGAGTAGTATGGTAAGCAAAGCTTGGTTTTTAAAGAAACTGCCTGTGATGTTGTGACTTTTAAAAATAAGTATATTCTTGGTCTCTGCTCTCATTTCCTGGCATAGGACTCCTAAAAATCTTGGACTCTCTCAAGTGGTAAGTGTCTTTTGTAGGCTAATGTGACAGGTGGCTCGGGCTGGTTGCTGGAGAACCAACCATGCAATGAGAAGGCTGAAACCTTCAGCTCTAGTTCCAACCCCTTGGAGGGGAGAGGAGCTGGGGATTTGGATAATCACCAGGGTGGTCAATGACTGAATCAATCATGCCTACGAAATGAGGCCTCCACAAAAACTCAAAAGGACAAAGTTTAGGGGAACTTCTGAGTTGCCGAACATATGGAGGTACTGGGAGGGTGGTGCTCCCAGAGGAGGGAAGCTCTGCTCTGCTTCCCCACATCTTGCCCCATGTATCTCTTCCATCTGGCTGTTCTTAACTCAAGTTATGCTATGTAAGGATTATTAGAGGGAGGCAGATAGAGATGTTCTGTTTATCTGGTTTCCTCTACTTGCACCTGTGACTATATTAATGAGGGTGGTTGGCACACAGTAACCCTGAATAGAACTGTTCAATAGAGGTCACCTTAATATGACCTGGTTTTATGATTAAAGGTACCAAATACTATGAAGATATTTTTAAACTGTTAAATCAATTTGTATGAATGTAAAACAGGTTATGGCTGTGTTCCTTTGTTTATAATTTTGCAAGATCTCATTTGTTCCTCTTGGCCTTTCTTTCACTTAGGAATATCCTACTGGGAGTCAGGAGGGAGAAGAGAGGCTGAAGTTCTTGAAGGAAGAAAAGATGCAGCAAGAAAGCTAGATTGACTTCTATTACACTCTGTGGATCACCTTCCCATTAGCCTCTCCCTAGGAAGTAAGGACCCAACCAGCTGATTCTCAGCATAAATAATACAAGGCAAAGAAATTCTCTGCACATTGCCCATGCTACTTACACTGAAACAATGGAGGAATTAATGTGGTGGTTCAAAGCCAAGCAGGAGGCTCAGACATGTCCTCCACTGCAAGAGTGGGAGTAAACAAGCCCTGGGGTTTTAGGAGCTGGTGACAGCACTGATGGCTACTCTTTTGCAGCCCATTTTGGCATTCTAGTAAAGTCTATTTCTTCTTGAAAAATGATTCCTCGCATTATTGTACTGTTTGCTTTACATCATTCCTGGACTTATGGAACTTTTACCATGTCTCCATGATGCAACAGGTCCAATGTGGTACCTAAGAATTATCCAGCTCATCATCAGTAGAAGATACTACAATCTGCTGAATGAATAAATAAAGTCATGACCTCTGCTTCTATGAGTATACAGTGTCTAGTTTGGTGCTGAGTGCTGAGTGAACAGGTTGTATGTCGCCAGTACCCTGAATAAGGGTCTATAACAATGTGGCCATGGGAAGTTTAGATGGCGGCTGGGCGCGGTGGCTAACGTCTGTAATCCCTGCACTTTGGGAGGCCGAGGCTTAATTCCAAATAAACACCATAGCTCAACTTTCATATTCGGGCATTTTGCTACTGTTAAAACATTTCAAGGACTCAATAATGTCACTCTAAGAAATGCAAACAATCCTTTTATACTGTGATTGTAACCTTGAGAAAAACATTTATGGGAATTCCTTTGACTGAAACCACTACTGCCACTGCAGTGGCATCAGAAGAGCTACTGAAGTAGGGTAGGAGGCTGTTTAAAAATACCAGAAAAGATTCATCTGAATAGCAGGTCTGCTAGGTGGCTTTTGGTGAAGAACCAGGATTGCGTGAGGTCTTCAATTCCCTAAGGGTGTTTCTTAAGAGGTTCTATAGTCAACCCTCCTTACCTCATGGCTAAGTTGGGTCTTTGGGAGATCCCACAGGACAAATCTGAACCTCAAATGTTTCTTAAATCCACCCAGAGCAGAGCAATTTCTACTTTATGAAAATGGCTTATGAATTTGTCATTTTCTGATCATCTACTGTGTGGTTTCACTTACGGAATGATCGACCTACTGTGGCAAATCTGGGACCCTGGCTGCGTGGGCCCAACAGCTTACTTAAGGGCCACCGCACACACTAGACAGTAATGCAAAGTTGGCACACACTAGTGTTCTGCAAAGAAGGCTGCAGAGCTTCAGATACCATCTGTCTGCTAACCCCATGATTTTAGTCAAAACAAACTCCACCTCTAACATAAGGGATGGCCAAAGACAAATAAGCTACTTAGAGATATCATACAAAAAATTAGAGCTATTTCCAGCAGCTCAAATAAAGCCAGGATAAAGCCATGAAAATAATGAGCCAAAAAAAAAGCAGCTTTTAAAAAGGCGCTGGTAGTTTAAAATTACTTCTCTCAAGGAGTAATGACTGAATTATGTATATCATTACTAAATATTTCATCTGTAGGGTTTAAAACCCAAACAACTGGTCATTTTAACCAATTGCCTCTAACATACAGGAGTCCAATCTAGAAAAAGAGG